CTGGTGAGGAGGGGGCCAGGGCTTTCCCGTCAGGCAGGGGTGACCCTGGGCGGGCAGCAGGGCCATGCCAGGGCCGGGCTTTCTCTCGGTTTCCACACGCTGCAGAAACTCTCAGAGCGAGAGCAGAGGTTTCTTGATGAGGGGAAGTGCACTCAGAGCACGAACCGAAATGTCACCTTCGGGGCTGGTGGCTCTTCCCAGGCAGCCCCGCTGCTCTCCCACACCTCTGCGGTAACCGGGCTGCCCCTGCCCCAGGACCCAACACAGCCCCTGCACTGGGGGAACAGGCTGTGCCGCTTCCAGCCCATGGGTGAGAGGAGCAAAGAGCCCAGCTGCTCGCAGCCCTGCACTGGCAAGGGGGCACAGTGCGGTGGGAAACCAGAGGTAACGGGTCCTGCTTCCCAGCAGCTGCTTTCCTGGACACAGGGCTGACCCGAAGGGAGCAGGACCTGCGAGAGCCCTTTTGCAAGAGCCCCTGATGGGAATCTCCTCTGTGCCCCACTCCAGGTGTCCCAGTGAGTCTCCCAGCCATGCACAGCATGGCACAGCCTGTGTCCAAGGGACAGCCGCTCCAGGCCAGCCCAGCACGATGTGGGTGCCATGGGCAGCTCTGGTGCAGCAGGCCCGTGTGCTGGCCCTGCCACCGCCTTGCTTCCCGGTAGCCACCAGCCGCAGCGATGCTTCCCGGAGCGCTGGCGCATTTGCCTGTGCTACTTTGCATGACCGAGGCTGCTTCAGGGCTGGGGACGCAGCGCGTGCGACACAGGCAAGGCAGGCAGGGGGCAAAGCTGCTCGCTGAGTACCCAACGGGCCCTCCGGGGCTGGGGGACGTGGGGAGGGATCAGCACGCGGCAGATGTGGGAAGCTGCTTTATTTTGCTTTACACTTTCTGTCATTCCTGGAAGCAGCCAGGGCCGCCCTGACCTTCCTGCTCGGAACTGCCACAGCCCCTCGGCCCCATCCCTCTGCCCTCACAGGATGCTCTGTGCCTGGGGCTGCCTCCAGCTCCCCTGGGAGCTGCTCAAGGCCCAGAGGGGCTCCCATGGCCCCAGGGTCTGTGGTTACTGAGCCCAGCCTGCCCCGAGCACTGTGCCGCACAGCACCTGCGGCCCCGCAAGCTGGGACACTGCTCCCCCCCCCTCCCCTGCGGTCCCACACACAGATGCTGAGCAGCTCCATGGCCACCCTGAGCCGCCTGCGGGCTGCGGTCCTGTGCACCAGGGCCCGGCAGCTCCACCCCTGCAAGCCCCACGCATTAGCACTAGGTTGATTTATAGAAATCCAATGTTTGGGGCTGCCGGTGCCTCCTGCCAAACCTCATTAACGCTGGCCTGGGAGCAAGGCAAACAGCTCGTGCAGCAACAAGGAAATCCTTGTTTAAGCATTTCTGGCCTTGCAGGGCCCTTTGCCTCATGCCCAGGGGAGGAGGAGGAGGAGAAGGACAAGGAGGAGAAGAGGAGGAAGCACAGGCCACAGCCTCCAAGCTGGCACCACCGCGGCAGCCCCGAGGAAGGAGACACAAGGGGATGTAGCAGGGTCTGCACAAGGCAGGAGCCCCCAGCATGGGCTGTGAGCTGGGAGGAAGCAGTAGCCACAAGGACATGGTGGGGGGCAGAAGGCTCCCACACCACAGCATTGGGATCTGTCCTTGCATGTCCTCATCAGCACTAGTGACTCATGGGGACACAGGTCCACTGGTGAGCTTGCAGTGGGTGACTGAGGGCAGGCTCAGCACTGCTGCCCTTCAAAGCTGACAGCTTTGAGAAGACAAAGGGCTTCATGGCTCACTCCTGCTTCTCTGCATGGTGCCAGCCCCCCTGTGCTGTGCCATGGCCTGGGGGAGAACTCTGCCAGAGCTGGCTGGGGCTGTCCAGAAGGATTTGCCAGTCCAGAGCAGCCTGGAAGGAGCTTCTCCATGGGGCGGGGGCAGGATCCTGCCCCTTGGTGCCTCTGCTCTCAGAGGGTCCCCTGAACAAAGCACTTGCCATGGGTACAGTGAGCTCTGGGCACATGGTGCTGCCGGGAGGCAACGGGGGCCGGTGCCTGCCCCATGGTGGTTACAGGGCACCAGAAGGGCCGGCCCATGGATCTGTCACTGCCAAGCTCCGGAGCAGCCTCAGTGACCTTCATCTGCCTGCCCCACGGGTGGCTCAGGATCTATTTCATCATCTGGAGAGAAGCATTTGCTGCCAATAACAGGGCTAATTAATTCTCCTCAAAGACCTCTCAATTATTCATCTCGGGCCACAGAGAAAACAATTACAGCACTTACCTCAGCCCTGACTCGGCCAGTGCAGCAGCCAGCGTGGGGCTGGGGCTGGCAGCAGGCAGAGCATGGCCAAGGATGGCCACACAGCTCTCAGTGCCCAGTGCCTGGCTCTGCCCCCCTGGCAGCATCACCCCAGAGGAGCACAGCCCCAGCCGGCCAGGGTGCTCCAGGAGCCACTCCCAGCACCAGGGCTCAGGACCGAGGGGTCCTGCCCAGCCCCTGCACTACTCCTTGTCACAGGGCACATCCCGTGGATCCAACCCCAATCTGCCACGTCTCTGCGTCCCACCCAGCAAGAACACGGCAGCCACTTGCTCCCTCCTCACCACCCGCCTGCAGTGGTCTCTTCTCCCCCTCCTCAGCCCAGGGACATACAGCTTGGAACCATGTCCAGGCCCAGCTGTGGGTGTCCACCCAAGCAAGGGCTCAGGCTGCATGGCCCCAGCACTGCCCAGCTTCATGCATCACTGAGGACAGTCCCCCTTGGAAAGAGGCTGTTTCCCAGTCAGTTCTCCTGCTCTTTGGACCTTGGGATACTTCTGCCCATGGCAGGGTTGAGTCCTGTTCCCTTCACGTCAGCTGCCCCTTGGGAAGGAGAACGAGCTGCACCGCTGGCACTACGAGCTCAGGGGTCTCCCTCCAGTCGAGTGACACTTGGGCAGTCTGCGGGTGCCACGTCCCGCCGGACCAGGGCTCCTTTTTGTGCCCAGCTCGCCGAGCACGGGGGGTCTGGGCGCTCCAGCTTTGCCACCCTGGCCCCCGGCACGCCAGGGCAGGGGCATCGCTGAACCGGGGCGCGCGGCCGGAGCCCCCAGCGCGGCGCCACGGGGCGCCGGGTCCCGGGGGCTCGGAGACACCGGGCGGGACAGCGCGGGGGGCGTCAGGCGGCGGCGGGGCCGGGCCGGGAAGGGTTAAGGGCGGCCCGCGCCCCCCCGGCGGCCGAGGGGCGGTCCTGTCGGGAAGCCGGGATTTCTGCGGTGGTTTTACTGGAAAAGTTGTTGCCGGCGGAGGGAGGGGTCAGCCGAGCGGCCCCGGCAGGTTGGGGTCGGGGGAACCGGCCGGCCCCGCACCGCCCGCGGCACCGGGACCGGCAGCGCCCAACGGGCTCCAGGACCGGGGCCGGCACCGGCCACTCCGCCGGCCCGCGCGGGGCTCGCTGTCCGCACGGTGGGACATGGTGCTCTGCTCCCGGAGCCCCTGGACCCTCACAGAGCTGCCCCTGCCCGCGGCCCCGCCACTGGGGCCAGGCCAGTCCCGGGACCCGGGCACCTACAGCCACCCGCAGCAGCTCTGCCCACTGTGTCCCACACCAGTGCCCCGTGGGGAACAGACGGCCCTGGACCACAGCGGTGTGAGAGCCACAGCCGAACCTCGCATGGCACTGGCCACCTTCACCAGCCCTGACCCTGGCAGTGCCACTCCACCAGACCTGGCAGGTGCATCCCAATGAGGCCATCGAGGGGTTTGTTCTGGGCTCAGGCCCGTTGGGTGTCGTGTGTGAGCAGCCGCCAGTATAGGTGTGCCCAGCACATGAACAGCAGCGTTGCACCAGGACACCAGCGCTGGTGGAGAGGGCAGCACCAGTTCCTCAGTGCCGTCTCCAGCACAGGCTGGCACTGACCACAGCGTGGCACAGCACAGGGGAGGCCTGGCTGTGCCGCCAGCAGGCTGAGCCAGGAGCCCAGCACGTCCCAGCGCTTCCAGGCATCGCTCCACAGTTCCCGACAGTAGGAAATCACTTGGCTCCACGGCTCCTTCCCTCCAGGGATGATTGATGGTGGCTCCCCCTGCCCAGCTGGGAGTAGACCCTACAGGGTGGCCAGCCCCAGCCCACGAGGATGAGCTATGGTGCCCGCCACGCAGGCAGTGCAGGCAGGGCCACCGCGGGGCCAAGGAAGCCTGGCAGGAAAATGTCCCCAAGCTCATGGCGAGCACTTCAGGGTCGCTGCCGGGCACGTGGCCAGCGCGAGGCACCCAGCACAAGCCACCCAGCTCACCGCCTGCACCAAGGGCAGTCCTGTGCCCACAGCCCCTGCCCACAGCCCCCCGGCTCTGCTGAGATGCTGGGAGCCAAGTGCCAGCCCTGCTCCCGGGGCAGCCACGAGTGCTTGGGAAGCGCTCCCTGAGCCTCATCCCAGTGATGTCCGAGGATGCACAGCCACACTGGTGCTCGACACCGTGCTCCCCGTCCTGCAGCCTCTCCTGAGGCACTGCAGAGGGGACGCTGCGCTCGGGGCCGGGACGTGTCGCGGGTAGGGCCTGGCAGCGGCTGCTCTGGGGCTGCCGGTGGGGCCGGGGCAGGGGGAGCCCGGCCGGCTCCGGGAATCGTCCCGGCGGCTGCCAGCTCTGTGGCAGGGAGGGCGGGGTGGGGGGAAACCCGATCCTCGCCCTCCTCGGCTGCGCTCCCCGGCCCGGCCTCGGCTTCTAATCTTAGCCCCGGGGAGGCTCCGCGGGAGCCTGAGCTCGGCCCCGCGTTCACGCGGTGGCGCCGGCAGGTGACGGCCGAGCCCCCGGTGCTGCCCTCGCGCTGCCCGCAAGCCTTGACTTGGCCAACCCCGCCCGTGGTCCCCAGTGCCGGCCCCACCGCAGCCCTGCCGGGGGAGCTCTCCGGGTGCCGCAGCGGGGTCACCCCGAGGCACGTCCCAGCCTGGAGCTCCCGGGAAGGGAGCGGGGCTGCAGGACGTGGGGCTCTGCGGAGGAGGCCGTGCCACGCTCGGGCCCTGCCGAGGATGCAGCGGCTTCCCAGCAGCGAGCCCCTGCCTGGGCTGGAAAGAGGGAGCTGCGCAGCCAGAGCCACCCCCCTCAGCTCTCCAGCACCAGCACCTGAGGGGCTCAGATGAGAGGAATGGCCAAGATGGAAGCTCCCCACACCCATGGGGCACTCCAGGGCCACCGCAGCTGGGAGCAGCAGGAGAGGATGAGTGGGTGAGCAGATGGGGAGGCCTAGGGATGCTCTACTTCCCAAGGCAGTGGAGACAGCGGCTCTGGAGCCTGCCCCACCTCAGGGCAGCTGCCCCACATACAGTGGGGTCCCAGGCTCAGGGCCCCAGGGCTGCACTTCCCTCCTCAGCCTGTCACCTGCAGCGTGCCTGGCTGGGCTGCCCAGGGCTTACTGGAAGAGGAAGCTGCTGGGAAGGCAGCGCGTGTGGCGGGGCAGCTTTGGGGAGGCTCGGCTGGGCTCGGCAGCCGGCACAGCTCAGTTGTCCGTGCTTCTAGGTCCAGGGCCAGTAACGGGAAGCGTCTGCTCTCAGTGACGGTAAATCAGATCGGGGAGATTAGAGGCCTTTTTGCCTAATCATGAGCAGCTTGAAGCTGGAGGACAAGTTCCTGGAACAAAGAGGAAATGGAGGCAGTAAATAAAGAAAAACTGTTAACATGTGGCCCTGCGTGTGAAAAACGTCTCTGTGAAGGACTGACTGTTTATGGCTCACTCATCTGAGGGTCTGACAGCAGGGCTGCAGCAGGCAGTGGTGATGAGGCCCTGGGTGCAGGGGTGCAGGCAGGGTGCAGGAAGGGTGTAGGGGTACAGGCAGGATGCAGGCAGGGCACAGGGGTGCAGGCAGGGTAGCAGGCACACAGGCGGCCAGCCAGGGCAGTGGTAGGGGGCTCTCAGATGGGGGGGGAGAGCTGGGGTGTCCTAGGCCATGTGTTTGGCACATGGTGAAGGGAGGAAGAAGGCAGAGGTGTAGCAGGGGCTGTGGTGTAGGCCCTCCCAGTAGAGCCCCATGATCATGGATCAGGTCTGCCCCACAGAGCCTCACCAGCCTCTGGCTGGTCCAGCCCAGTGGGTCACCGGGGGGGGGAGTCTTGCTGCTGTGCTGGGCACATGCTCCCCTGTTCCAGCGATCTCTGCCAGGTGCTGGTGCCCCCCCAGTGCAGGCAGAGTGCCGAGAGCTGTGGAGCTCTGCAGCCAACACCGGTGGAGCTGCCGGACGCACTGCCTGCGCTGCACAGGACGTCAGCTGCTTCCAGGGCAGACGCAGCCAGAAGCCAGAGCCAATTCCCAGCCGCAAGGTCACCCTGCACTGTCCCTGCTGGCGGTGTGGCAGGAGCCATTGCCGTCCAGCACATGGTGCCATGGGACGTGTGTGTCCTCACGGAGCCAAGGCCGAGGGGGCACGGGTCCCTCCGGCAGGACACCCGGGATGGGTGCTCCTGGCAAACAGGGGCCCGCGGGCGAGCCGGGGGCTGCAGCAGCGCCCACCCGTGTCCAGCACCCCCGACCGTGTCTCAGGGCTGCGGTGGGCACTGGGCAGAGGCCAGGCAGGAGCGAGGATGGAGGGATGGGGGCCTGGAGGGGCCGCGCTGCGGGGCAGTCCCGGGAGGTGCCCGCTGCCCTGTGCCCGGCCGTCCCTGCGGGTCGCGCAACCCGCACCGCGGATCCCGATCCCGGTCCCGGTCCCGCCCCTCCCTCCGCCCGTGAGCCCTTGCGGCGGGGCGGTCCCGGCGATGCTGGCGGCGCGGGGCGCTCTGCGGTGGGGGCGGCTGCCCGCGACGGGGGCTGGGATGTGCTCGGTGCAGCCGCGGGGTCCCCCCCGCCTCCCGCCGCTCGTTGTGGACCTGCGGAGCGACACCGTGACCCAGCCCTGCGCGGCGATGCGCAGCGCCATGGCCCGCGCCGCCGTGGGAGACGACGACTACGGGGAGGACCCGACGGTTAACGGTGGGGTCCCTGCCTGCAGCCACCCAAAGTCAAGGGCAGTGGGGATGGGGAGCCCCAGGGGGCTTCTCCGAGGCTTGGGGCAGCAGCCTGGGCCTGTGGGGTTCCCTATCGACCCCCTAGAGCCAGCAGACCCCCCCCCCCCCCAGGATCCCGGTGCTTCTCCCTCCTGCAGAGCTGCAGCGCCTGGCCGCGGGGACCCTGGGCATGGAGGAGGCATTGTTTGTGCCCACGGCCACAATGGCGAACCTCATTGCTGGTGAGTGCTGGGGCTGTGCCTAGCCCCTGTCTGGCCCCGGGCAGCCAGGTCACAAACCCAGGGGCAGATTTGTGCCCCGAGCCCATGGAGGGTGCAGAAGGCGAGAACAGCCCTTCTGCTCCCCAAGGTCCAAGGAGAGCCCTGCTTTTGCTAGGCAAGTCACTCAGGTGGCCACAGGACAGAGCTGTGGGCAGCAGGTCCTCCCTGACCTAGGTGCATCTCCTCACCCCTTTCTCAGCCCCCTCTACCTCACATCTGTAGCAGCACAACTCTGTTTGGACCCTGGAACTGCTCCCTGCTAAGCAACCCCGCCCTGCCTTGGGTCTGCTCGTACCAGTCCCATGTGTGGCCTCTGCCCTGCTATGTTAACTTTTACCAGCTTTGCTTCCCGGCCTTCCTGTGGCCAGGGTCCACAATGTGCTGCCTGGGAGCATGGGACCTGCTCCAGCCCTGGCCTCCTGTCCGCACCAGGATGCGGGAACCGTGCCCCTCCCAGTACATCCCCACCTCCAACACTCCCAGCACCTGGGGGACAGAGCAGGCGCCCGGTGCCCGCAGGAGGCTGCGGTGCTGGGACCTTCCCGCTGTGCTGCACAATCAGCCTTCGTGTGCCAGCGGGGTGCTGCCCGCTCACGGCCGCTCTCCCTCGCAGTGATGTGCCACTGCCAGCGCCGGGGAGCTCAGGTGATCCTGGGCCGGGACTCCCATCTGCACGTCTACGAGCACGGCGGGGTCGCGCAGGTGGGTGCCGCGGACGGGGCGGCCCCGGTGGCACCGGCAGCGCAGAGGGCGCGGGCGGGAGGGCGGCTTGCTGCTGCCCTCCGCTGGCTGCCGGCGCCGCGCTCGGCGGAGGAGCCCTCGCTGGGTTGCGCGGAAACATCACCGGCATCACCCGGGCCGCGAGTGGGACTGGGCTGGGAGCCGCGGGCACCGTCCCCGTCCCCGGTCAGCTCTGCTCTGCCCTGCCCCGAGCGCAGGTCGCTGGTGTCCACTCCCAGGCGCTGCCGGACTTGCCCGATGGCACCTTCGACCTGGAGCTGCTGGAGCTGACAATCCGTGAGGCCCACGGCAGCCGGTACCACCCGCGCCCCGAGCTTGTGTGCCTGGAGAACACGCACAGCTCTGCTGGGGGCCGGGTGCTGCCCCTTGCCTACCTCCAGCAGGTACGAGCCCACAGCCAGAGCCGGCTGCTGGTGCTGGCAGGGTGCACCACAGGGACACCAGAGCTCAGAACGTGGCTTGTGTTGGCGCTGGCCGGCCCAGGGGTCCCTCCAGCTCAGTGCCTCCCCCCAGGTCCGTGGGCTCGCTGACCGCTACGGGCTGCAGGTGCACATGGACGGAGCACGGCTGATGAATGCGGCAGTGGCACAGAACATGGAGCCAGCTCAGTTCACCCAGCACTGCGACTCCGTGGCCCTCTGCTTCTCCAAGGTGCTCACTGGGGCCTTGCCTGTATTCAGGGGCACTGGACGGAGCACCCAGCTTGCAGGCTGGGGTGTCCCTGGGCACATCCCAGCAGGGGCAGCCCCGGTCACCCCTTGGTGTCTCAGCAGGGCCTGGGTGCCCCAGCTGGTGCAGTGCTGGCTGGGCGCAAGGACTTTGTCGCCGAGGCCTGGCGCATGCGGAAGCTGCTGGGTGGTGGGATGCGGCAGGCCGGAGTGCTGGCAGCTGCAGCCCTTGTTGGCCTTGAGCGCATGGGGGTGACGCTGCGCAGGGACCACGACAATGCCTGGCGCTTTGCTGAAGGTATCTTGGGGGCCCTCTGCACGCGGGAGGCGCAGGCAGAAGCAGCCTAATGCTGCTCTCTGTTTCCCTGTGCTGCTGCACTGCTGGGTTGGCATGGGCTCGCCACCCCTTCCAGTGCACCCGGCACTGCTGCAGGACAGCGGCACAGGCACCTTCCCTGGGCTGGATCTCCAGCCAGGCCAGGATGATGCTGCCTGGCTGGAGCGCCAGGACAATGCTGTGCCTGTGCCCACAGTGCCACACAGAGGGGAGGGCAAAGGGCCCCTCCTTCAGCCAAGACCAGTGCAGCCTCCCCTCCCGGTTATCCAGCCACTGGGCTCGGTGCCTGCCACCCCTACCTCCCACAGGCATTCAGGAGCTGAACTCGCCCCTCTGCTCTGTCAACCTCACGGCGGTGGAGACCAACATTGTGATGGTGAACATCAGCGGGGCCTACCCATCCCCTGTGGAGCTCTGTGAGCACCTGCGGGCTGTGAGCGAGGAGGAGCTGGCCCAGACTGGCCACGCTGTCAGCGTCCTGCTCTTCCCCTGGTCGGCACACACCGTGCGCGCTGTCTGGCACTGCGGCATCTCGGCCCGCGACACCGAGCTTGCAAAGAAGAAGCTGGAGTTTGTGGCCAGGAAGTGCCAGGAGAAGCTGACCCTGGGGCTGCGCCCAACCCCTCCGAGTGCAAGGGGAGCCTGAGCATCCCCCCAGCCCTGTCCTGGCAGCTGAGGTGCTGGGACCAGCCACAGCATCTGCAGCACAGCATTCATCCCGCAAGCCAGTGTGAGCCCAGCCCAGGGGACACCCCAGCCTGCTTAGCAGTGGGAGCATCTTCACAGACACATCCAGAGGTAACATTGGGAGCCCACAGCACACTCCGCCACTTGGTCCCCTCAGAGGCAGGGTCCCTGCCTTGTGGGTCACCCAGCAAACACATCCTCAGGGCATCCTTTAGGTCCTGCAGCAGCTTAGCTACTGTAACCTGGGTCCCATAGAGCACCCAAAGGTGGAGCCAGACACCCCTCACCCCAAGGCCACACGCTGTGCCTGGCTCACGTGCACTGCATGGGTGTGAGGATGCTGCAGTGGAGAGGCAGATCCCGAGGGATGGTCAGGGCATGAAATAAACATGTTCTGGCAGGGCTGTGGCTGCGCAGGGTGTTTCCTCCCAGGTGTGCAGCTCTCCTGACTGTGCAGCAGGGACATCATCGCAGCCCGGAGGTACCTGCTGGCTTAGCACACCCCCAGCTCCCCAGGAAGTAGTTCCACCCAGGCGGCAGTTATTCCTTGTTTATTTTGTGTTGGCAATAAGCAGTTTAAAGGGAACAAACATCATCACCCCTTTGTCCAGACATAGCCCACCATGTCTGCCAGCTCCATGCACTTCATATGGGCAGAAACACCCCAGCAAAGGAATGCTATCCCCGGTAGTAACTGGTGCTCCCCTGATCCAGCCCCCTGCCTGGCTGCAGGCATCAGCCCGGGGAGGAGGGCAACCAGGGAGCCAGGGAGGAGGGCAGCAGGGCTGGGTGTGCACAGGGCTGTTTCCCATCTCTGCTCCTGCCATGCCATCAGGCTCTCAAAATCATGTTCAGAATCACCTGAGATGAGGAGTGGAGCCCTGTGAGCAGTGCCTGGCTCCACTCCTCTGCTCCTGAAGGCCTGAGGCTGCAGCCCCACACCCATATGCAGGGAGCACTCCCCTCAGCACAGCCCCCCGGGCTGTGCAATCTTGGCTGTGCTTGGAGGGAAGGGAGGATGGGGGCTCTTCCCCTACCTGAGTGAGGATGTAGCTGTCCTCAGACAGCTTCTCAACAATGTCGAAGTGATCCACGCCGGCAAGATCCAGCATGGAGACGGACCAGCCAGCTGCACGCAGGGCCTGCAGAGAGAGAGGCACTGGTGGGAGGGACCCGTCCCCCATCAGCAGAGGGAATCACTGCTCCTCAAGGACGAGCATCCCCCCGAGCTGAGCCGCTGTCATCCCCCACAGCAGCAGGACTGCTGCTGACACAGCACCCGAGCCCTTCCTCCCAGCCTGGAGGGTCCCGGCTCCTGCCGGCGCTCACCAGGACGTACTCCCGCGACTGCCGGCGGAACTCCGGGGAGTCATGCTGGGCCATGGCCACCAGCACCTTGCAGGCTGCGGCCGCAGGTGCTGCAGGGGCGATGTGCAGCAGGGGGCTGTTCCGCTGGGCCACCTCCCTGAGGAGACACCGCGGTGGCAGTGGCCGCAGCCCCGTGTGCTGAGCCACGTGCCCCGGCAGGCAGAGGGCACAGCCCCGCTCACCGGCTCATATGAAGCGCATCGTTCACGTAGGTGTGCAGGATGGGCTCAAGGTCGTACACGCCGCTCACCAGCACAGCTCCTGGGCCAGAGGAGGGTGAAGGGTTGTGAGACCACTTTTCTTGTGCCCATGTCACATCCCAGACCTCAGAGAGTGGCTGGTGGGCACGGGGGCAGCTTGTCCAGGAGCCAAGTCCCACACTCCCAGCATGTCCTGGCTGACATCAGCTTGGGCAACTTGTCTCCTTGGGCAACAGAGACACCTCTTCCTGGGTGTAGACACCATCTCCCTCTGAGCCCCTGTGCCTGGACATGCTGCTGCTACCTTTGATATCTGGCACCACACCGTATTCCGTCCAGTCCGTGGCCAACACCATGGCTGCCAAGTGAGCCCCCGCTGAGTGTCCACACAGATAAATGCCTCTGCAGAGAGGGAGCCATGAGCCAGTGGGACAGGAGCCTGGGGACACCCTGCTCTCTCCACAAGCGCCACAATCCAAACACAGCCCAAACACATTTCTCAGTCCATCGGCTGACACCTCACACTGCGACAAAGGCGCCACAGCCACTGGTGCTGCCCAGCGCTCAGACTGAGCTGTCAAAGCCCCATCACAGCTCAGGGGTCGGCTGCCACCACCAAACCCCGTGCAGGGACCACCACATGCACAGTTTGCCTTGACAACCAGATGCCAGCTGTGCTGGTGGGGCAGAGGGGCCCGGGGGTGGCCTGTAGCCCACCTGATCCTATCGTAGCGCTCCACCAGGAAGGCGATGCTGCGCCGCACCTGCAGCACCATGGCGTCCATGTGTCCTGGGCAGAGCTGAGCGTCAGGAGGGCATGGAGCTAGCAGAGGCACCCACAGCTTCTCCCGGCCAGCACCTACCTTTGGGAGCGATGTCGTAGCCCACGGCCACCAGCCCCACACCCTGTGACACCAGCGAGGGGGCAGCAAACCCTGACTCGTCTTTACTGCGGGGAAACAGAAGGTGGCCAGGCTGTGGGGGTCGCGGTCTCTGGGTCCAGACCCAGCATACCGAGAACAAGCCCGGTGTCATGAGGAGGGAAGCAGTAACGGGGGCCTGGAGACTCCCTTCCCAAGGGATTCCCTCGCCGACAGCCCACCTCACCTCAGGCACTGCCAGTATCCACCATGGATATAGACCAGGACAGGGAAGGCTGTGCAGCACAGCCCCGGGTGAGCAGGGGTCACAGCCCCCGCCCACCACCGCTGCCACGGCCTGCCCGTCACCTACTTCCAGACGGGTCCGTGGGGAGGTAGATGTCCAGCTTCTCGCCGTCCCCGTCTCCGTAAGGGACGTGCAGCGAGGTCTGCGCGCCAGCCCGGGCCCGCTGGGTTCCTGTGGGAGAAGGGACACGGCGCCTGGGTCAGCCCCGCTCCTGCTCCCGGTCCCGGCCCCCCGGACCGGGCAGCCCGCTCCTCACCTGCCGCCGCCGCCGCGAGGTGGGCCTGGATCACTTCGTCGGGGCCCAGGCGGGGAGACCAGCGGCTGGGGGAGTACTGCTGCTCCAGCTCCTGCGGGGCACGGCGGCTGCGGCGCGGCGGGGACCGGGCGAGGCGCCCCGACCCCGACCCCGACTCCGCAACCCGGCGGGAGCCGTGCGCTGCCCACCCCCCGGACCCACCTCCGCGGCCATGTCCCACCACCCGCCCATGCTGCGGCCTGGACCGGTCCTGGTTCCCGTCCCGATCCCGATCCCGATCCCGGTCCCGGTCCCGGTCCCGGTCCCGGTCCCGGTCCCGGTCCCAGGTCCGCCCGGGGGCGGGGCAGTCCAGCTCCTATTGGCACCTCGGGAGGTGGGGCCGGGGCACGTGACGGGGGCGGAGCCCCGGGCGGGGCCGCTCCGCTCCCATTGGCAGCCCGGGGGGTGTGGCCGGGGGTACCTGGCGGGCGGGCAGAGCGATGACGTCACCGCAGCGCGGCGCGCGGTGCACGCCGGGAAGGCGCGGGCTCTCAGAGGGGAAAAAAGAATTTTCGCGCCCGTGCCGCCATTGGCCCGACGCGCGGCGAGGGACACTTCCGATTGGCTGGCGCGGCGGAGCCGGGGCGGGAGGCCTCTCTGATTGGCCGTGGGGCGGGGCGGTGGAGCGGCGCGCGGGGTCAGTCGGTCGGTGAGCGCCGTCATGAGCTGCCTCACGGTGCCCGGGGTCCACCCCGGCTCCCCCGGCCGCCCGCGCGGGCAGATCCAGGTACCGGGACCGGGGGGGGGGGCTGTGCTGAGGCCGGGCTGCGGGGGGGCCCGGGGCAGCGCCAGGCGGGGCGCGGGAGCTGCCTGTGGGGCTCCGTCGCGCTGACTGCAGCCGCTGACACCCGGTTCTGCCGCAGGTGATCTTCGGACCCATGTTCTCCGGGAAGAGGTAGGCCCGGGGCGGGCGGGAGCAGGAGGGGGCCCGTGTGGGGCTCAGGGGACGGCCCCGGTCCCGCTGACCGCCGTCTCTCCCGCAGCACGGAGCTCATGCGGCGGGTGCGGCGGTTCCAGCTCGCTCAGTACCGCTGCCTCCTGGTGAAATACGCCAAGGACACGCGCTACGGGTCCTCCGGTGTCTCCACGCACGACAAGTGAGTCCCTGCAGCAGGGGCACCCCCGCTGCGGGCCCAGCAGCTCGGCTGCGGGCCTCACCTGCTCTCCCTTCCCAAGGAACACCATGGAGGCTGTGCCAGCCTGTCTCCTCAAGGACGTGTACCAGGAGGCGCTGAGCTCCACAGTCATCGGCATCGATGAGGGCCAGTTTGTAAGTGCCAGGGCAGGTCCTGGGAAGCTCTGCAGGATGGGACTTCCCCCACGCAGCCCAGGGTCTAAATCCTCGGGGGGAATAGGGGGAGGAATACCCTGGGGCTATTTGATCCCCCTGTGCTTGTACAGTCAGACGCTGTCCTTCCTGCAGGCTGAGGACAGGGGGGCTGGAGCCCATTTTAGGGGTAGGCAGCATGCCTCCATTTTATTTTGTGCCCTGTGCTGCTGGATCCTGAGCAGAGTACTGCCCCTTCTTACTCCTTACGCTGTTTCGGTACCCCCTCTAGTTCCCAGACATTGTGGAGTTCTGTGAGATGATGGCCAACACCGGAAAAACCATCATAGTTGCTGCTCTTGATGGCACTTTCCAGAGAAAGGTAAGACATTTGTTTTAGTACAGCAGCTGCTTTGACCCCCTCATAGAACCATCCAACAGAACCATCCTGCTCTCTTGGCACAGGCCTTCGGGAGCATCCTGAACCTGGTGCCGCTGGCAGAGAGTGTGGTGAAGCTGAATGCTGTGTGCATGGAGTGCTACCGAGAGGCCTCCTACACAAAGAGGTTGGGAGCAGAGAGGGAGGTGAGTTCTAAGGAGCCAGGCTGAGAGAGCTGGGCTGGTTCAACCTGGAGAAGAAAAGGTTCCTTAAGGGGAGACCTTAGAGCAGCTCCAGTGCCTAAAGGGGCTACAGGAAACCTGGAGAGGGGCTTTGGACAAGGGCCTGTAGGGACAGGCCAAGGGGAATGGCTTGAACCTGCCAGAGGGGAGACTGAGATGAGCTCTTAGGCAGAAGCTCTTCCCTGTGAGGGTGCCGAGATGCTGGCACAGGGTGCCCAGAGAAGCTGTGGCTGCCCCATCCCTGGCAGTGCTCAAGGCCAGGTTGGACACAGGGGCTTGGAACAAGCTGCTCCAGTGGAAGGGGTCCCTGCCCGTAGCAGAGGAGTGGAGCTGGATGAGATTTAAGGTCCAACCCAAACCAGTCTAGGATTCCCTTGGAAGAGAAAGCCCTGCAGTAGCTTCACCTTGCCAGTCCTGCTGTTCTGGAGGGATCTTCTCAGGGGAGCTGAGCTCTGCAGTCACTCCCCCATTTTTCCTGCCAGGTTGAGGTGATTGGAGGAGCAGACAAGTACCACTCCGTCTGCAGAGCCTGCTACTTCCGCCATCAGCCCCCTCAGCCTGGGCCAGAGAACAAGGAGAATGTGCCCCTGATGCTGAAGCAGCTCAATGTGGCTGCCTCCTGCCGCAAGATCTTTGCTTCCTGACTGCTGGGCTCCTGTGTGCAGGAGGCCAAGCAGAAGGCAGCTGAAGGCTGCAGCTCCCAGTGCTCCGGCTTCCTCTGCTTCCGCAGAACCGAACTGCCCAGTGCCCCCTGCAAAGCCCCTGCCACTCCCCTGCTCCAGGCACGGGGAGGAAGAGGATCAGCTGCACCTGACACAGAAGCGGAAGCCTGGCTCAAAGGGAGTTCCTGTCTCAGAACACGGGAAGGGACAGGTGTAGCTACTGATGCTGCCACCAAACCAGCCCTGGAACCCTGTCCCAGCAGTCGGGCTGCAGGTTCCCACTGCTCCAGCTGCTCTCCTGGGCTGGGCATAGGCTCAGCCTGGCTCTGCTGGCTGGTTCCCTCACCTGGGAATGCAACTGTTTCTCTGTGGTGCCCTGTTGCTAAATCCCAGGTTTCTTAAGACACAACGTACAGTAACTCAGTGTGTTTAACCCACTTCCCTTTTCCATGCAGTCCAAGGGGATAACCCATCCCTCAGCCTTTCGGTGTTCCCTTTGAATGACTGCATGTGGCTCATCCCTTTGCCATTACACTCTTGATCTAACTGTCCTGTAAATCTTTGTTGAAACAAAGAGGGGGAAAGGTAGGGTGACGGGCAGCTTGACAGCAGGCTCTTACTAGTGTTAGTCTAGCAGTAGCCTCTGTGTTTAAGACAGGGTTCTTTTGGAAGGGGATTTTGCTCAGGGCCAAGCTCAGTGCTGCCCCTTCGATGCTCAGTTACCTGTGAAGGGGTTGGAGGCTCAGGACAACCTGTTAAGGGTTGGGCTGCTGTTCCTTCAAAGACCCAGTGACGTGGAGAAGGGTCTCTGCTTTGGGTGAGTGGTTCTCAGCTCTTACTCATGTACATTGCTGCCTTCTGAGCTCTCTGAAACATCTCAAGGCTGATTCCTCTGCTGCAGGTTGGCTGAAGGATCCTCTTCTCCCTTTGTTTGACCTTTGGCTTTCTGGAAGGTTGGGTTTTCTTCCTTATTCCTCCCCAAAGCACTTTTACCTTTAGGCCAGTGCCCACAAGCTCCAAGCAGCAGCTCTTGCTTCTGGCCAGTTCACATCTCCCTGTGCAATGCAGTGCTTTCTGCCTACACCCAGCAGCCAGGAGGAGGGACCTCCCTGGGAGGTTATGACACAATAGGGTAAGCATGTGTCCCTCTGCATTACTCGAGGTGGTAACAGTTCTAGCACACACAAGTGTGCAAGTGCCAGGCCTGGGCTTTCCCCTTTAATAACTAACTCGATGAATTAAGCTTAATAAATAAATGAGTTTCTGTGTGTGTTTTATACCCATCTGCTCTGAGCAGGCTCCCCTGCAAGGACCAGCACGGGCTGATAGCTTACAGCAGCTGCCTGTGCTGGAGCCCAAACCTACCCAACAGACTAAAAATAGACCCAGCATGAGTGTGCTGTTTGCAGTGCAGGAGTTGGCTGGGTCTGCTCTGCTGCTCCCTGGCCTGGGGGCCCTGGGCCTTGGGGGGAGAGGAGGAATCCTGCTTTGCTTCCCCAGAGAAGAGAGACAGAGGGGGGGGGCAAGGTGAAAAAGTTTATTCCGTATCTACAGTGGCAAAGAATTACTCGAAGGCCAGCCCCAGCAGCGCCAGCTCACACACCACACTGCTGCTGGGTGCAGCAGCACACACAACCTGAGATAGGCAGCCTGCACCAGTGCCTTGGCATGGGCCGGGAGCTGAGCAGGGTGTGGGATGCAGAGGCAAGTGCAGGGGCTGCAGCAGCAGGAATTACACCCAGGGCCCCTGTTGGAGAGCAGGGTCAGCCCTGGACCCACTGAGATCTCAGCACTCACTGCTCCCACAGATCCCAAACAGCATCACCCAGCACTGGCAGCTCTGATGCAGGCTGTGGGAAGGCACAGCAGAGTTTAGAGGTGAGATAAGACAGGGCTTTGGCATGAAGCTCACCCAGCAGCAGCTGAGGGGAAGGCACGGGAGAGGCAGGAGCCGGATGGCCCAGCTGTGCTATGGCAGCAAAAGCTGGCACTTGAGGGGTCACAGCCAGCGGGGCTGGAAAGGCACCAGAATAGGGCAGCAGTCATGGGCATGGCCAGGGCAGAGCTGGGGGTGCAAACCACACACTCACCCCACAGCAGCTTCCCCAAGGGCAGGAGCTTGGCCTCACAGGGCCACCCCCACACACTCACCCTCCCCACAGCCATGGGGCTGCACTCAGTAGTTGTGCATTGCACACCGGGTCCTATCACTGGGGAGCTCTGCACCTCACACCACGGCCAGTGGCCTTCACACAAAGCAGCAGCCACTTTCCCACCCACCGTCCCCCTTCACGTGGCAGGTCCCTCCCCTGCATCCCACAGCAGAGCATTGCACCGGTGCAGCCATCCCTGCTGGGCCCCGGCCATGGCTCAGTACACTGGCGGCGGCTGGTACCCCTCAGGGGCTTCCGCCGTTTGGGTGAAAGGTGGCTGCTGGTAGCTCTCATGGCTGATGTTGGGGTAGCTGGAGTAGGGAGTTGAAACCTCCGGGCTGGGGTCGATGTAGCTCTGAGCAAAGTCCTCCACCCCCATTTTGTACCTCTTGTAAGCGAAGGTGATCAGTAGGCCCTAGAGAGACAAGGGGCCGGTGGCGTCAGGGTTCTGTGGGCGGGGAGCCCCTGCACCACCCTCCCGAGCACGGCAGCGCCCAGCTCCCCCGCGGCAGCACTCACCCAGGAGAAGATGGAGAAGAAGCTGAAGGTGATGGCAGCGCGGGCAGAGTCAGCCCCGATGTGCACATCCTCGGCCCGTGTCCAGGCCCATTGGTTGGTCAAGAAACAAAAGCCAACAAACCACAGGAACGTCCAGAGACCTAAAGGAGGAAGGCAGGAGCATGAGGGGCCAGGGCTGCACCCTGCTGCTCCAGGAGGGCCCCCAGCCGTGACCCTGCTCCCACCAGGCTGCATAGGGCTGGTGGCTGGCGCAGGCACCGGCACAGCCTCCCGTGGCTCCTCGAAGTGCCTTGAGCAACGAGCGCGTGGTCTGTGGGCAGTGCTCCAGGCGGGAGCGACTCCCTTCGCCAGGCACCAGCAGCCACGTCATGGGACAAGGGCAGCCATTGTGGCAGCGCAGGAGGCACAG